TTTAAAATCTAAGCCGATTATCTTCTTCTTTCAGTACTCTGCCCCAGTATCGCACATTGGTGATCACATTGGCAATAATAACTTTGTGTACGGCGGCTCAAGTCGTTACAGGTCTTCTTCAGTGGAGACAATAAGTAATGTGTCGTCTGCATATCTGAGATTGTTGACATTAAATCCCGTTGATTTTAATGCCTGTATCTTCAACTAAGGATTATTTGAAAATAAATTCGGAGTAGATAAGTAGAGGCGATAGAATACATCCTTGCCTCACTCCACGTCGTATTTCCACTGCTTCTGCCGTGTTGTGTCCAGCTCGTTTGCACATTAATGCCAATACAAATTTTTGATAATACGGAGGTTGCTGTCATTAATTCCCACCTGTTGCAAGACACCTATAAGTTTGTCATGATTTACTCAGTCAAAGGCCTTTTCGAAGTCGATAAAACACATATATACTAATTCCCTACATCTTTGAAGCATGACCTGCAAACTGAAGAGTGCTTCTCTGATTCCAAGGTTGTTTCTGAAACCAAATTGTGTTTCACTTAGTTGTACTTATATTTTGTTGTAAATTCTCGAGTGCAGTAGTTTTAGGAAAATTTTCAGTACATGACTCATCAGACTGATAGTGCGATGATCGCTACACTGTTTGGCATTTATTTTTTTCGGTATCATAACAAATCTTGACAGTAGCCAGTCTGTTGGTATGTGTCCTGTTTCGTATATTTTATTAAAGAGGTTTAGAAGAGAATGTTTGCCTTATCGTCGAGCAGTTTGATTAACTATTTCTCTTGGAATTTCATCTAACCGGTTGCTCTTCTATTCTTTGATAGCTTTATAGCTCTTTCCATTTCATGAGTGTTATGTTTGGACCAGTCGATATATTATTATTATATATAAGCCGATTATAGGAAAAGTAATTTCCTCAATAATTATTGTAAATAGGGAGATTAAGCTGGTAATAGAAGAACATAAGTTATCTGGATATTTCTGGATTTAATATCTTTAGTGTGTACATTGACTTGTTCAGAGTTCGATCTTTAACTGAGACTAAGGTTTACTAAGTGCTACGTATGGTCAGTGTTGCAATATGCGTAGAGGGCTGGACACTCAAAACGAGGGATATAAACAGATTAGAAGCTTTCGAAATGTGGCTTATCGCCGTATCCTAAAAATACGGATGGACAGCGAAAATCACAAATATAGATGTCCTTAAAAGAATAAACCAAGAACGCCAACTTTTCGAAACCATTAAAAAAAAACGGCGTATCTAGGTCACATCATGCGAATGAAAAAATACCAGTTTCCTTCAACTTATAATCGAGGGTAAAATTGAAGGCAAGAGAGGAATGGGACGCAAGAAAATGTCCTGGCTACGAAACATAAGGCAAATGGACAGGGATTAAGGACATACAATATCTGATACATATTGCAAGAAATAGAGAATTAATGAGAAAATGTGATCGCTTACATCCATTAGTGGATGAAGAAGAAGGTGTGTACACAAATATACATTACAAAAGCTGGCATATCTAAAATCTTCTATACTGGTGTTATATTACTTTTTGTTTATAGTAAAATGCTAAGGTGAGCGCCACGAAAGCAGCCTCAGGAAATAGTTGGTAGTAGTACAATATGTAAACTTTTTCAATTTTATTAAAATATATAACGAGTATATTAACTAAGAGCGGTTTGATGTACTTTCGATGTATCAAAACGTTTTTTAAAATAAAAATAAAAACTTAAATAGATCTACCACTTTAGCTGTAAGCAACTACTACTGTGAAAAGGATCAATCAGAAGCAATTTTACCAATTGTGGTAATATTTTCAGAAGACCCTACGTTCTAGAGTACTGATACAATTGGTCGCATGGCTCCTATAGATCTTTTTAAGTTAATTTGCTCCTTTTATAACTTGTGTACACCGTACCGATGACGATCAAATAGAACAATAATGGTAAGAAAGAATAATGAGTAATTGTCGAAGTCAAAGGAGTTCCATATGTTATAGTTCGTAGAATTGTATTATTAGCCTAATTTATAACAACTCGAGAATAACTGGATCCATTTGTCTACCTTTGGTTAATTAATTTAAGTGTTATTTATACAACAGTATTCATAGTTCAGTTAAATTGTATTTTTGCTAGGAAAGTTTTGGGGTAGTTCTGATTTTTTTCATTAAATATGCTTTATTGAGGTGCTTAATCCGAATCTGGGGTTTGCGGACAAAATTCGTGACGCAACATTAAAAAAAAACAAGAACATAAACCGCTTTTTTTTCTTCTTTTTCGGGTTTTTTGCTCAAAACTCGAAAACTATCAACTTTGGTAAATGGTCTGTGTACGAATTAAAGTACTTAAAATTTCTACAAAACATATTAGTTTTTGTAGACAAAACGTTCGGTTTTAGTGCGAGTTGAAAATTGTAAATTTTTAACATTTTATGCAAAACCCCCCTTTTTACATTTCAATATTTAATTTTAATTGATGCTGACATTTGATAATTGTACACCTAGTTATCAACAAGTAATTGAACAAAAAAAGAATTATGCAAATTCAGAGTAGGTGTAACCGAAACAAATAAACTTAAAATCCGTTACTTATGTCATATATCATTATGATAAATATTATAATAGCAAAATTTATATGAGCCGTTGTCTTTTGGAAGGCCCTGGCCAAGATTCTTCGATAACGATGAGTCCTGGTTCTACTTGTTCTGGAAAATAAAAGTTTAAAGTTAAGTCATTTATCAAGAAGAGATGAAGACTGCAAAATAGATTGTGAGATTAAATATACTCCCATCGAGAGGTTCCTTCGGCTCGGTCTGCTCATCGTCCACGCGGGGTCGTTCTCCTGGAAAATAAAAAGAGGAGAGACACATATCATATATCAAGGAGAGATGAATGACTACAAAATAACTTGTCAGATCCAACATACCTCTCCCTCTTTCTTCAGTTTCTTCTACGTCTATGCCAAAGCTGTCTTCTGGGGGCTCAACATTGTTACACAGTCCTTCGCATGATGCGCATATTGGGGAACAATGAAGTCCCGCCTTCCTGCATCCACAATTGCGTTGACAGCCCTTTTTACATTTACATGAAATGTACCGGAGTATTGAGTTTGGTGCAGGGTCCAAAGTAGTTGGTACTGGCATAAGACCACACTAGTTTGATGCCATCCCCTCACTTGGGTCTTTTTGTTGCTCGTTAGGTGTGGCTTGACCGGAATAACCACTGCTGACCTATAGTAAACTCTCAGTGAATGTTCGTGCAGCAGCTTCAGTTGGGGGCAATGAGGAAATGTTGGTCTTATTTTTGAATGATGAAGATACGTATTGTTTATATTTTAAATCGTTTAGTTTTGTCTCTTTTTTTTCATATAAAGCCGTGAGAAACATGTTTCCTGCTGTGGCAATCTCATCTTGACTTGAATTAGGGTATTTGAAAGATTCAATTACATTGCAAATTTTGTTCTTCTGCAGGACTTTAAGAAATTTTAGTTTCCCTTGATTAAACAATGCAGAAGTAGTATCATAACCACTCATCGCATGCAGGAATAAAATATGATTAAATAGGATTTTCTCAGCAGCCAGATGAAGGTTATAGTGGCTTTGCGAAACCTTTCCTTTTCCTGGCTTAAAAAATACATTTTTTATATCAGGGCTACAAACGCCAATCAAAATGAACAGTAGGTCGATATCTTCACCACCACTGTCACATGTTCATTTGACGGGGCCATCTCAAGAGCTGTTGAGATAATTAGGATGTCAGCATCTTCCACAGCTTGCTTTGAATGAATTTTTGCATCATGAAGTTTCTCCATTAACATAGATATAAACCGGCTCTTGTTTTTTTGGGTTTGCAAGAAAACTATACTGCGACACAGTGGGCACCATCATTTCTATTAATGATATTGCAGCAGATTGTTTTCTTTGTGCTCTTCTCAATCGTTCTAAACGCTTGGTGCTACCACAAGCCTCGTCAGGGTAGCCATCAAAAACGACAATAGCACTTGATTTGTAGTTTGATTTGACATATGATACATAACTGCTGCATATGTCTGACCTTGGCGCCATTTTACTTGGTGTAACATAAAACCTCCGTCGATGACATATTTTTTATCGTTAAACTCAGTTTGTTCAGTAGGTGTAAAAGCCTTGTACAAACTGGATTTTGTTCCTTTCCTCATCCCATGCTCATCAAAAAGAGCAAGAGTATAGGAGTTAAGTTCGTAACGTAAAAATTCTTGCAGCTCTTTATCTGAATGTTTCGCGATGGTCATTCGTTGAAAAAGTGTGATGGGATTGATAACTACAGCCCTGTCTTGTATTTGAATGGAGCTGTTCATGATCGCAAGAGGCAGCACTCTTTCGCTTCTTTTAAATTTTACAGCTTGAAAATCACAATCAACAATGCTCTGTATACCTTTCATGCCCACCTCCTTGGACAAATGGCATGTAATCCTCTCATCTGCGACAATACCAGTACTTAAACTTCTGTAAACAGACCATTTACTAAAAGTTAACAGTTTTCGAGTTTTAAGCAAAAAACCGGAAAAAAGCAAAAAAAAACGATTTCTTCTCGTTTTTTAAATGTTGTGTCACGAAATTTTGTCCGCAAACCTCAGATTCAGATTTAGCACCCCAAAACACATATGGAATGAAAAAATCAGAACTTCCCCAAAACTTTCCTACTAGTATCACTTTACAATACAAATTTACTGAATCATCAATCATTATAATAAACATCAGATATAATAAAGGATTTAAAAAAAAATACAAGTACATATAAACTGACCGAATGACTAACCCAAGCCATAAAAATTTTTTCTACTTCAGAAAATATGTTTGTATATAGGGAAGAGAAAACTCACGCTATATTTACCAAGTACTATATTTTTAACAACATTGTTAAACAAAATTTGTTTCTTATTGATATAATAACAATTTGTAGAGTGTAGTTTAGGTTTGAAAGAATTAAGAAGTTTTGTTTTTGTTTCAGATCAAAGGCAGAAAGTTGGATCGCTTCTCCCGTTCCATGAAACTATCAAAGCTTTTCCCCGACACCAAGTATCTCATCTGTGTTTTAGCCTTAGGAAATTGGGCTTTTAACTTTAAAGAAGCTCCCCAATATCTAAGACGTCCAGAAAATGACACAAACGATATGGAACTATTTTCTGATATTATACGTCCATTACTAGTTGACTCTCCCACCAGTCGCTGTGCAGAAGTAAACACTTTGGGAGCACCCGACAGCATGCACGTAGGTATGGGTATGTTACCAGACCATTCTATGGGTGCCCAATCTATCTTAACTCGCCGACTAGGACTTATTATTGGCTGTTGTATGGGCTTTGTTGTGTTTGTTGGACTTGTTTCTATCCTCGGGTACCTCAAAATTAAGAAACAAAGAAGAGCAGTCAAGAGGGACCAACCTTTACCGCCCGAATATCTTTCTTACAGACACTTTTCTATACAAAGCGGTGAAGCCGGAGGTCATCCGCATTTTATAACCAATATGAACACAACTGTTTTGAACTAGAATCAATTGGTCTGAGTTAGATCCTAAGAATATCATTAACTAATATACTGACAGACTGGTAGTAGGGATGTCATTTTCTAGATTTAACCATCCACGTTGGTAGAATTTAGAAAAGCCAAAATGTCCACCGGAATTTGAAAAAGATACAAAAATATTTAGTGTTAAATGACTTAGCTTGACAGATTTTAGTAAAAACAAGAATTATTACAGGTATTTGATTCAAATTACCGAAGACAGCTATGTTATATGATCATTACTAGAGCGCGGAATATACGCAACATTGTTTTGACAAAATGTGCGCATACATATGTATCTTTTTTCATGAAAATATGCACAAATATTGACTTTTATTACAAAATATGTAATCCAATATGCAATAAAATTTAATAATGTAATAAAACAAATTGGGTGCAAAAAGTACTATGTCCAAAAATTGGTTTTTATTTGAAAAATACACATAGTAAGTAAGAAAAACATAGTCAGATACAATTATTCACTATTTTAAAATGATACAAAAATGTTTTACAATAATATACGATTTCTCGTTTGGAAATACTATAAAAGGCATTTAAAAATAATTTTTGAAGTTTTCCAGTAAAAATGATTGTCTTCTATCAGTAAAAATGTATTTGGACATAGAAAAGGTTCTTTCAACGTCTACTGACGTAATTGGACAATATTGAAGTTTTGCAGTATACTATAAAGCCATGGTACATGTTCGTCAGAAGACTTATTTTCGTAGAAATTTTTAACTATTTTTAAAAATTTAAACCCTTCAATCTTTGTTAAAGTCACTTCGGCTTTGTGCCTTCATTTGATCTCCAACTTTACCCGAACGTTGCATTACTTAGCATAAAACTTTCAATTTTACTATGGACTCTCTTTTAAAATTAATTGTCCACTCTCTAACGATGTGATCATATCTGGTATAACGCAAGAATTAACTTTAATAAAAAGTAAATCTCCAGTTACACTTACACTTTGTAAGTAAGCTCCTTACCTTAAGCGTCGTCCTCAATGTTCAAAATTTAGTCATTACCGGCATCAAAATGTCGGTAATCTGAAAATTAAATCTAATTTATATTGGAATCAAACTGCCAAAGTAAGAGTTGACAGCCAGTACAACCGAAAATATCAAAATACAGAGAGGAATCCGCCATTGTTTGCGTGCTGTCCCCACTACTTTTCAATGTCTACAGTGAATTACGGATAAACAACAATGATTTACAGAACGTAATGCAACGCCTTAATGAACGCTGTTATGAATACGGACTGAAGATAAATTTAAAGAAAAACTAAATGCATGATCATGACTAAATCTTCACATGCAAATATCCAATTGACTATTGAAGATACTGCAATTGAGAGTGTTAATAATATAAATAACTAGGAACATGGATAACATCAGATGTAGACCAAACCAAAGAAATTTAGACACGTATTGAAATAGCACGTACATCATTTATTAAACTTAAAAAGTTTCTTTGTTGTCGGGATATAAGGTTAGACAGCTACGCCTGATGTTACGTGTTCTCTACTCTTCTTTATGGTTTGGAAGCTTGGACACTAAAACTATCTATGGCCGCCTTTAAATTTTGGTGTTACAGAAGAATCCTAACGAAGATCATGGATTCAAAGAATGTCAAACATGGAAGGAACTAGAAGGATAAGAAATGAGGCGGAAATAATATTAACTATTAAAAGACGAAAACTTGAGTACTTGCGACATGTGATTAGAGGGAAAAAATTAGCATTATTACAACTTATTATGCAGGGAAAAATCCGAGGAAAGCGAAATGTGGGAAGACGAAGAATATCCTGGCTTAAGAACTTAAGGGAATGGTTTTAATGCAGTAGTGCAGAACTTTTTAGAGCGGAAGTCAACAGAGTCCGCATAGACTTGATGATTTCCAACCTTTGATAGAAGATGGAACTTAAAGAAGAAGAAGAAGTAATCAAAATGTTCAGCATAGTATATAGCCGCGTTAATCCACGTTCTCTATCTGATAATTACAGGTTCTGGTGATAAACTAATTCCAGGCAGTCTATTCCTATACATCTTCACTCTAAGAGGGGCTTTGATCAATACTTTCTTAATATTTGAAATTAGCTTATTCACTATCGAAAATTATTTTCTGATGGTTTCTGATATTCTTTTTATTTCGTGCAGAAGACTTGTAACAGGCACCAAATTGGGATAAAATACTTTAAGGTTCTGTTCCTACTTTTATCATATAGTGTGCGGCATCAGATAGAAGCACCAACAACTTTTTTCTTTTGGCACTTTGTTTGTAAGAAAGAAGCTTGATAGAGTATGAAGCTGGATACCGTCACATTATTGGTTTTGTCCAACTTCTTCGAAGCTATTAAGTATGCGTCTGTATAATTATTTTCTTAAGATGCTCCAATCATCAGATATGCGATGTATCTGCCACAAGTATCGGTACTTTTATCCACAACGATGTAGAAGTTTCTATCGCCAATTGAAAATTTTATTTCCTGAAGAACTGTCTCTTAGACCGAATGAACATTTTTCTTTCTGATGGTCGACTCATCAGGAATGGTTTGGTTGCAATGCCTTTGAAAAAAACTTCTAAATTGGGATGCTGAAGTTTAGTTAGTAGTATGTTAGCTGCCATAATAGCTTTACATTCCTTATCCGACTTAGATTTTGCACCCACATTTTGAAAGGCGTTTTTAACATTCTGTTGAATAGGTGCACATTTCATTTTTGCAATTTTTCCGATAGGTAGCACTGTTTTTAAATGCTGATTTACTTGAAACTTTTTCTCACAAACAATTATTTTTGACCAGGCTTTGCAAAACACTTTTTTTCCACTAAATTCTAACTCGGAAATACCCTTAATCCACGTCGCAGATTTTATTTTTTCGCCATTTTTAAAACCAATCTCTCTTTCTTTCTTCTCCTCCCCTTCCTTTTACCCTATTAGGGTGTCGGATTAGGGCTAGCTATTTTAATTTCCCATTTACTTACCTCCTCCATTCTTTTCTGTTTCCTTCCATTATTTTCAATTCCTCGAGTGATTTTTGTTTAAGTTTTCCCGCCTCTACTACTTGCTGTATCCATTTTTTTCTTGGTCTGCCTCTCTTTTCGTTTTGCGATGTTTTTTGCTTTATAAACTTTTCTTGTTATTCAATTGGATTGCATCCTCATCAGATGCCCATACCAGTTCATTTGTCTCTTTGCTATTTTGTTCATTGTCAGTTCCTGGTTGGCCATTGTCCTAATAGTCTCGTTGCTTAATATATCCCATTTTGTCTTTCCAACCATCCTTCTTAGATGTCTCATCTCCCTTGCGTTTATTCTGCTCTTATATTTTTCCAGAATTGTCCAGTTTTCACTTGCATAGAACATAGTCGGTATCACTATTGTGTTATATATTTTTTATTCTTGTTTCTCGTGTAAGTTCTCTTTTTTGCCATTATTGGGGCTAACGCATAGTATAACTTGTTTGATTTTTATGCTCTATTTGTTATTTCCCAGTCCATTTTTCCGTCATTAGTTATTATACTTCCCAGGTATTCGTAAGTTGTTACTATTTCCAATTCTGAGTTTTTACATTTTATCTTTATTTGATTATCTTTCTGATCTCCTTTGCCGCTGATTATCATTATCTTACTTTTTTATCGTTTATCTCCATTTTTAGTTCTTCTATTTTGATCTTCCCATCTTTCCATTAGTTTCTGCATTTTATTCTCGGAATCTGCTATTAGTACTATGTCATCTGCATACATTAAGGATTCTATTGTTAGTAACTCCTAACTAAGACTAGTTAGTCTTTATTATTACCGGTTGTAATCTGTGGTAACCTATTATTGTCTGTAGTTGATTGGTTCTGACTCTAGTATTTCTTATCAACTCGTTCATTACTATTATGAATAGCAAAGGGCTGAGACTATCTCCTTGTAATACGTCTCTTCCAATTAAATGCTTCCGATCTTTCCCCTGTTATTTGTACCCTTCCTTTTACCTCTTTGTAAGTACTTACTATAATTTTTATCAATGTATTAGGTACCTTTATTTTTCTTAAGCATTTCCCTATAATATGTCTTTCTATCGTCTCAAATGCTGCTCTTAGGTACCTATATGAATGCTTATACTAGTTTTTCCCACGTATCTATGTTTCTTTCTATTAGGTTTCTAATGATACATATGTTGTCACTTGTCTGTCTTCCCGGTCTAAATGCCGTTTGTTCTTCTCCCAATACCATTTCTACTTCTTGTCTCAGTCTCTTCTCTATTAACTTTGAAAAATAAGGCTAGCATCGAGCACAAGTTTAATTAAATCTTGCCCAAGTAATTTCGCTTAAAATAGCATCTTCAGGAGCCATCTGAAATAAGCCAAGAAAGAGTTTTTTAGATGAAGGAAACTAGTTAACTTCGATAAAAACCTCGAAGTTAATGGATGAAAAAAGTTTTTTGTGATTAACGTTTTAGACTTACTTCGTCAAATATGAGCTATCCAGCAAGCGTAGAATGTGATAAACATGTATAAAAACATAAAATTGTACAAATTATTTTTGTATATATTTTAAACCATACCGATGACAGGCATATTGCTCTATAGTTGTCGCAGTTTACATGTTCTCCTTTTTTGTATATTGGCACGATGATATTCTTCTGCCAGTCTTTAGGGATTGTTTGTTTTTCCCACGCCTCTTTATATCCTTTCCATAGCCAATTTATTTCTTCTTCTCCATGTATTTTACCATTTTCGGTTCAATTTCATCATCTCCACTTGAACCAATCAAAACTCGCTATATATGTGTCAACACAATAAAGCTTTTCGACAAATTAAAAATACTAACCTGAGCCTAGTTATGCCCACAATACACTTACAAGTGTATCGTGGTTATGCCTAACCAATATTCATTGTGCAAACCAATAAGGGATTGTCCATTTTCTAACAATATTAGAATTATTCACAAATACAGTGTCTCATTCATTATTATAAAATTCATTTAGATAACAGTAATCA